TTTCTGGATTTGTGGTTTGGTGTCTGTCTTTAATTCTGCAAAAATTCTCAGCCATTATTACTATTTCTTTTGTTCCTTTCTCTTTTTCTTCTCCTTCTGATATTCCCACTACATGTATGTTAAATCTGTTATAATTGTCCCACAGTTCCTGGATATTCTAATCTATATTTATTTTTATTTGTATTTCAGTTTTGGAAGTTTCTGTTAACTAGCTCACTAATTCTTTCCTTGACATATCTGGTATATTAATGATCCCATTGGGGTCATTCTTAATTTTTTATACAGTGTTTATTATTTTTGACATTTTCTTTTAAGAGTTTCCATCTCTGATTACTTGACCTACTTTCTCTTGGCTATTTCCCCACAATTTTTTTAAAAAAAGATTTATTTTGTTTGTAAGAGTTACAGAGAGGGAGAGAGAGAGAGAGAGAGAGAGAGAGGGAGGGAGAGAGAGAGGTCTTCTATCCACTGGTTCAATCCCCAAATGGCTGGAACGGCTGGAGCTGAGCCTATCTGAAGCCAGGAGCCAGGAGCTTCTTCCAGGTCTCCCACACGTGTGCAAGGGCCCAAGGACTCGGGCCATCTTCTACTGCTTTCCCAGGCCATAGCAGGGAACTGGATTGGAAGTGGAGCAGCCGGGTTTGCAACTGGTGCCCATTTGGAATGGCGGTGCTACAGGCTGTGGCTTTAACCTACTGTACCACAGTGCCAGCCCCACTATTGCTCTACTTTTTCCTTTATGGCTCTAAATGTATTGTCATAGCTGTTTTAAATTTTTGGTCTGATAATTCTAAAATGCCTGCCATATCTGTCTCTGATGCTCTAGCTCTTCAAATTATGTTAATTTTGTTAAGGGCATATGTGTTTTGGTCTGACTTGTACTTTTTTATTGAAAGGCAAACATTTGCTGGGTGAAAGGAACTAAGGTAAAGAGGTCTTTGGAGTGAAGTTGTATGCTTATCTGGCTAGGAGTCAGGCTATGTTTGTTGTTTGCTGTATCGGTAGGTGTCAGAGGCTCAAACATCTTTTCGTTTCCTTGTTTTGGTCTTTCCTGTTGACCTTCGGTTCCCCTAGAGTCTTCTTTTTTAAATAACGTCTGAGACATGCAATTCTTGCAGTTGAATCTTCTGTTACTGCATGGGAGTCCAGCTGGTATGGTGGTAGGGCATGGAGAAAGGGAAAGGGTCTCAGTCATCTAGTGAGGCTGTGGCCTTCCTAAGCACGTCTCAGTTTTCTTCCCCAGCCCTCTTTAGGTGAGCTGAGAAGGTTAGAGGGGACTGGAGTTGAATATTCCCCTTCATTCAAGTCTGTTAGGTGATGATAGAACCCCAATTGGTCAGGCACTAGTGAAATGGGTTCTCTTGAGGGTAATCCTTGCTGAGATGAACAGATTATTTGGAGTGCATTTCTTTTTTTCTTTTTCTTTTTTTCTTTTTTTTTTTTGACAGAGTGGATAGTGAGAGAGAGAGACAGAGAGAAAGGTCTTCCTTTGCCGTTGGTTCACCCTCCAATGGCTGCCGCACCGCGCTGATCCGATGGCAGGAGCCAGGTGCTTCTCCTGGTCTCCCATGGGGTGCAGGGCCCAAGCACCTGGGCCATCCTCCACTGCACTCCCTGGCCACAGCAGAGAGCTGGCCTGGAAGAGGGGCGACCGGGACAGAATCCGGCGCCCCAACCGGGACTAGAACCCGGTGTGCTGGCGCCGCAAGGCGGAGGATTAGCCTAGTGAGCCACGGCGCCGGCCTGGAGTGCATTTCAAAATGCCTAATTTTACCACCACCTAGCTGGAAACAAGGGGAAATTTTTGTCTGATCTTTACTTTGAGAACGTGGTAGGATAACTAGAAGTAAAATTAATGAAAGTAGAGCTTCCCTAAGAGCCCATTCCTCCTCGAGTGTTTAGCACTCCAGCTTGTCTCCACCTAGTCTCCAGGCTCTCAGTTCCACTTTGGTTTTCTGACTCCATAAATGAGTTCTGTGGCTAGCTGCTGCTCCGGACTTCTGCTCTTGGTAAGCTGAGATGCTGTTCATCTGCCTTCTTGTATGTCGTGCTTTTGGGGCGGGCTTGCCCTGAGATCTCAGTTATCTGATGGAGCCCTGAAGACTTGTTGATTTTCAGCTTTTTCCTTCTTTTGATGATAGGAGTGATGATTTTCATGCTCTTTATTTGTTGCACCAGAAGCCAGAAGTCCACACATTTATGTTTGTAAATGATTCCAATTTTTCACCCTTGTTACCAGAGCATCACTGAGTCAAAGTTGACTGATAATGAATGTCTCAATGTATATCTGTCCATTCCTATAGAAGAGTCAGGCAAAAAAGGCTGATTGGAAACTGTGTGTGTGGTTGATTAAATGGAGCAATTGATATGGAATTATTGATGGAGGTCTCTCTTTGAGAGACCTGCAGCATCAGCATCTGCTAGTCTTTTGTGACTTTGAATTTCTCTGAGAGAATCCTACAGTCTTGTTTGTGGGTCACAAGATTGAGGCCAATATTTTGAGTTTTGAGTAAGCAAAGTAGGTTATTGATCTCATTTTTCCCCATTAAAATATGCTTCTGCGTTTAGTTCTTCACTGTGTCCTTATCTTCTGTACTTGGAATTCTGGGATTCAAAACCCCTACCCTTCATTTTTTGCAGAGAGTAAATCTCTTGTATTCTGCCTGGTTGTAGTAGGTGGCACTGGGTGACAGCACTCCTTTGTTGTGTACCTTCAATTTTATCTTCAAAGTTATTTGATGCTTTTAATTTCAGGTTTTTCCTCTGGTATGATTTTACTTGCTGATGTCTGTCTTCTGTAAATAGTAGGTTTTAGCTTTCTTTGTTTTGCTAAATCACTTGCCATTTGCTTTTCATCTCAGCATTTGTTATTGTTCTCATCAGGTGTCATTCTCTATTTCAATCTTAATGAGTTTTGCCCTTTTAAAAAGCTATTTTAGTGAAAGCAGAGGTAGGAAAGTATGTTTCAATGTGACACACTTAAAGTGGAAATCTCTTCTGTCTTTATTGTCCCCAGGGACTTTTTGGTTTGGGTACTGGACTGACTCCTGGATGATTTCTCGGAAAAACCTTGGATTTGGATGAAAGTTTTCCACAAAATGATGCCATTGATTTCACTCTCCTTCCACTGCCAGCAGTTAGCACTCATTGAGAACATGACATCCCAGATATCGAGTTAAATCATTTACATATATTATCCCATTTAAAACCTATCAAAAGGCCGGTGCCGTGGCTCAATAGGCTAATCCTCCAATCCTGCGGCGCCGGCACCCTGGGTTCTAGTCCCGGTCGGGGCGCCGGATTCTGTCCCGGTTGCCCCTCTTCCAGGCCAGCTCTCTGCTGTGGCCAGGGAGTGCAGTGGAGGATGGCCCAAATGCTTGGGCCCTGCACCTGCATGGGAGACCAGGAGAAGCACCTGGCTCCTGGTTCGGATCAGTGCGGTGCGCTGGCCGCAGCGCATCGGCCGCAGCAGCCATTGGAGGGTGAACCAACGGTAAAGGAAGACCTTTCTCTCTCTGTCTCTCTCTCTCACTGTCCACTCTGCCTGTCAAAAATAAATAAATAAATAAAACCTATTGAAAGATTATGCTCATTTCATTTAGAGGAATATGAACCTTAGAGAAAGTTAATACTGAAAAAAATCACACAGCTGATGAGTGAAAGAACCTTGAATGAGGCAACTTAGTTCTAGAGCTCAATACATATGAAATATAAATCTCCAATTCTATAGAGTGTTATAAGATATTTAATTATAATAAAAATGAGATTGAAGCAGGAAACTTCTGAATTTTCTACTCTTCTTTGTTGTTAGGGGACAGTCTTTTTTTTTTTTTTTTTAAGAAGTCAAAATGCTCTGTGCTTTCACAATGGCTATCTTGTCAAAGATATCTTGGATTAGCTATGGAGCTTCCAACATTGATAATGGCATACTATGTAGTTTCAAACAATGTTACCAGTGGGTAAGACTAAAAATGTCATACAATACATCTGCTTGAAGGACTCAGATTGTTTGAGTAAAATGTAGCCCAAATTCACAGAGCAAATGAAAAGGTAAGGAGACCAGCTGACCTGTTGGAACTCAGAGTTTTATGTTCTTCTTGCTTCTTTTCAATCCTCTTTACTTATTGGCAGTAACCATTGTCTCCAGAATAGACCAGCAGCTTGTTCATGTTTGCATGTCTATGCCATGTAAGAGGAGAAGCCTTATGTCCTTCAATGATCATGTGACAGGTTGATTATGACTTTGGCTGCTGAAGGAGGCTAGTCACAGTTGTACATTAGCTGGTGAGTAACAGATGGGATAGAAAAGGTTGAGAAAGAGTTCTTGGTCAAGAATTACAAAGGGGGAGGATCATGCTATGGCTTAGCAGGTAATGCCACCACCTGCAGTGCTGGCATCCCAGATGGGCACCAGTTTGAGTCCTGGCTGCTCCACTCCTGATCCAGCTCTACGCTATGGCCTGGGGAAGCAGTGGAAGATGACCCAAGTGCTTGGGCCCCTGAATCCGCGTGGGAGACCCAGAAGAAACACATGGCTCCTGGCTTCAGATCGGTGCAGCTCCAGCTGTTGTGGCCATTTGGGGAGTGTACCTGCAGATGGAAGACCTCGCTCTCTCTGCCTCTGCTGCTCTGTAACTCTGCCTTTCAAATAATTTTTTTTTTTTAAATTATGAAGGAAACTTCTTATCTTGACCTTTTGGTTAATGGGGCTGTCTGATCATGGCAGGGGGACATACAACCACTTGAGAAATTGATGGAAAGTTTTGGCATGACCCATGAAGACACTTGTCTCCCTGAATTGGGCATGGCTTTTCCTGGAGCCCATAGCAGGAGTACTTTTGCTAAGTGAAATCTTCCAAGTACCTATAAAGCAGAGCCAATCTTGTATTTGGTGACGTCAGGGTCACCGCTGCAGGTCAGATTGTTCCTGTAGCAGTAGAGAGTTTGATGTTTAAACATGATTTCTTGGAGAAATCAGTAATTTTTCTCCTCCTGAGCAGGTAAAGTTGCAGCAAGCTCAAGTGTTTAGCTGCATCAATAAGAATACAGCAGCTGGTGAAGCACTGGGAGAGAGAGAGAATTCTAAGTTCTTGAGCTGAGAAGTTACAGATTTCCTGGACAAAGTTTCCTTACTTAACCATATGGCCAAAGTCAACAAATCTCCTGCCTAGGCTTTGAAGCCTTTCATGTATTCCTTAACGCAGTAAAAGGTAAGGGTCCAGTTTCCTCCATGATATCATTTCACAGGCCACACAGACTTCACAGCAGAACTTTTGACATATCATGCAATGGAATCAATGCAAAGGTTTTATGATTATTGAGAACCCCACAACCCCCACTCCTTAAGTATACTGTTTTCTTGTTGATTCACTATTTCCAAACTTTGAGCTTAAATTTTTTTCCTTGCTAGAAGATGGCTCGTAGGGTTTACAAGTACAGTGTAATCGGGTAAAAACATTCATGCAGAGATGACTGTGTTCAGCGTGACAGTAGGCAGGTTATGTCATATCTGTAGACCACCTACTCGGTGTCTTTGGCCGTTGGAGCTTTATGGCATCCTCACACATTTGGTTTTTAAGCTGTTAACCTTTCAGGAAACACAGGGGGAAGGAAAGGAGACTCTGTACCTTTCCTGAAGATCTTTCCCATTCATGTAAAATGAGAAGCCAAGAAGACACAGAGCATGGCCAGGTATCGTTAGGAGACATCCAGACAAGACCACCTGAAAAATGTCAGTATGAACCTCAGCTTTAACACGCAGCTCCTCAAGTGGAGGACAGGCAAGGAGAAAAAAGATAGAGGATTGAGCAACGCAAGCAGGGGCATTTGCTTGGTTCCTGTCTCAGCAGCAGGAGTGAAAACATGACATTATCTTGATTAGTTTAGAAATGTGAATTAGGATGGCAACTTCCTGCTTCACCTCCAGCCTCGTTTGAGGCCACTTCCTTCCTACCTCATGCCTTTGAAGCTCCCAGTGAGCACCACTCCTCCTCCACTAAAGTTCCCACACAGCTTGTCTCTTCTGCCTGAATTGTTCATTCTCACATTCTTTGTATTGTTTGGTTCCTTCTGAACTTTCTGATAGTACATTAGAGAGAGGTTTCGTTGGAGCAGACAACATTCTTTTGGGCAACATCCCTGCAGGGCACATGGGTCATGCTGGGACTTCTCTGAGCTGTTTCTCTTGCTGCTAATGAGTGACCAGCATGCATTATTCCCCTGTATGTACTCCAGCTACCTGTTATTGCTGTTCCTTTGGCCTCTCTGTATTGCCAAAGCAGATTGAGTTGAGGTGGTTTGTGGTTTAAGATGTGGTTTTGTATTGTTTGTGTTTTGCAAGTTATGGTCTCTGTACAGTATGTTCTCCTATTATATATATTTTTTTAATTTCTACAGGTGAGCCCCATCTTTTGGCAAGACTGTAAGATCATACTTAAGCCAAGACTGTGATCTTAGGTGGTGACAGCTCAAGATCTACACTGCTGATCAAAGCAGCTGTAACTATGTTGAAGGTCAGTTGAATGACAACAAACTTTTTTTTTTTTTTTTTTTTTTTTGACAGGCAGAGTGGATAGTGAGAGAGAGAGACAGAGAGAAAGGTCTTCCTTTTGCCATTGGTTCACCCTCCAATGGCTGCCATGGCTGGCACGCTGCGGCCGGTGCACCGCGCTGATCCGAAGGCAGGAGCCAGGTGCTTCTCCTGGTCTCCCATGGGGTGCAGGGCCCAAGCACTTGGGCCATCCTCCACTGCCTTCCCAGGCCACAGCAGAGAGCTGGCCTGGAGGGCAACCGGGAAAGAATCCGGTGCCCCGACCAGGACTAGAACCCGGTGTGTCGGCGCTGCTAGGTGGAGGATTAGCCTATTGAGCCGCGGCGCCGGCCAACAACAAACTTTGTAACTTTTTGTATGTTCTGTTGAACTGTCATTTGGTGAGTTAGTGGCCGAATAACAGAATTTTAGACCTGGGGATCATACATCTGTGCACTGCAAATCATGTGGAGGCTAAAAGAAGGATCAAAATCAGAGTGTGTATCACACTTTCAAGATAGGTACCACAAATAGCCAAATTAAATCAGAAAACATATCCCACCTTCAATCTCTGAAGCCTGTAGTAGCAGACTTAGGAATATCAGACAGTTGTCTGGTTTTGTAATTTCTAGTGTTTTCAGATCTCTGTAGGAACATTAAAGTTTCTGGAAAAGTCTGTAGGGATTGGGGGCTGGCACTGAGACACAGTGGATTAAAGTCCTGGCCTGCAGTGCCGGCATCCCATATGGGTACCAGTTCAAGTCCTGGCTGTTCCACTTCTGATCCAGCTCCATGCTATGGCCTGGGAAAGCAGTGGAAGATGGCCTAAGTGCTTGGGGCCCTGAACCAATGTGGGAGACCCGGAAGAAGCTCCAGCTCCTGGCTTCAGATTGGCTCAGCTCCGGCCATCACGTCCATCTGGGGAGTAAACCAGTGGATGTAAGACCTTTCTCTCTGTCTCTACCTCTCTCTGTAACTGTCTTTCAAATAAATAAAAAATAAACCTTAAAAAAAGTCTGTAGGAATTAAGTGCAATTTTCTTCCATAAATTGGCACATGGTCCACATGGGAGCTGTAACGACCAGGCAGCTCTTTCCAAACCACTGTTTATTGATCTCATGACATTTTCTGTAAGCTTTATAGTCTCGGTGGCATTATTGTCTAGTCACCCTGGAGTTCTTGGAACTGTAACATAAAGGATTTTTCACACCTGTTAGGCCAGCTTTAAAGCTTCACATGAGATGTGAGCAAGGAAAGAAGCATCCCAAGAATATGATTAAGTTCACAGATGGAGAACTGGATTTTCTTCTTCATGAATTAATTTTTTGAATATTTATCTATTTATCCAAAAGTTAGATTTTCAGGGTGGGGCAGAAACTGATTTTCCATCCACCAGTTCAGATGATTGCAATGGCCAGGCCAGAGCCAGGAGCCAGGAGCTTCTTCCAGGTCTCCCATAGGAGCCCAAGCACTTGGACAATCTTCTGCTGCTTTTCCCAGGCCATCAGCAAGGAGCTGGATGGGAAGTGGAGCAGCTGGGACATAAATTGGCATCCATGTGGGATGCTGGCATTGCAGGTGGTGGCTTTACCTGCTATGCCACAATATCAGCCCAAATTAATTTGTATAAAGAGATATATATTTTTCTGAGAGTATAAACTGGTAGGCTAAAATGTACCTAAAGTGATATTTGGAACTATTCTGAAAGTAGGCATCAGTTTACCAAGAAAGCAAGTCCTTCTTTGATTTGCAAGTGGTAACGAAGAGCTTTCAATCTGAAAATCCTAAAATAGTCACTGGGGAGTACCCAAGAGATCCTACGAGGTTAAAGCATGTTGCACCAGCTGATGGAATTTAAAGATCAGCCAGTACAACTATGGTGGAAGAGAGTGAACTTGTGTTTCAGTTGTGAATCTTCCTCATAGGGTTTATAAAAATGAAGCATCTTCCAGTTGTGTACTAATTTCTTAGTTTCTTATTCAGCTCTATTTATATGAAAACATGGTTATAAAAGTGGGCTCTTATAAAAGAAATCTCTCTTCCTAGTTGTGAGGTGAGAATTACGTATTACCCAAAGGAAAATTGGTAGCAATCAAAAGAAAGTGACTACTGCCCAAATGAAAGTGGACCCGAACCCAACAGATGGTTTAATGACATTTTTTTTATTTTTTATTTTTTGACAGGCAGAGTGGACAGTGAGAAAGAGAGAGAGTTTAGAAGGGTCTTCCTTTACCGTTGGTTCAGCCCCCAATGGCTGCTGCGGCCGGCAAACCGTGCTGATCTGAAGCCAGGAGCCAGGTGCTTCTCTTGGTCTCCCATGCAGGTGCAGGGCCCAAGCACTTGGGCCATCCTCCACTGCACTCCCTGGCCACAGCAGAGAGCTGTCCTGGAAGAGGGGCAACCGGGACAGAATCGAGTGCCCTGACCGGGACTAGAACCCGGTGTGCCGGCGCTGCAGGCGGAGTATTAGCCTATTGAACCGCGGCGCAGGCCTCAATGACATTTTTAAGGTAAATCATAGTTGATTTATAATCAAATATTGTACTCACCTTAGGGAGTGAGGAGGGGTACAAAAATCAGTATCAAGAATAGGGCATTGGAGGCCAGCATTGTGGCACAGTGGATTAAGCTACCACCTATAATGCTGGCATCCCGTATGAGTGCTGATTTGAATTCTGGCTTCTCCACTTTTGATCTAACTCCTTCTAATGTGCCTGGGAAAGCAGTAGAAGATGACTCAAAGGCTTGGAACCCTGCCACCCATGCGGGAGACCCAGATGGAGTTCCAGGCTTCTGGCTTTGGTCTGGCCTAGCCATGGCTCTTGCAACCATTTGGGGAGCAAACCAGCAGATGGAAGATGGATTTCTCTCTCTCTCTCTCCTTCTCTCTATGTAACTCTGCCTTTCAAATACATCTTTAGAAAAAGAATAGGGTAACATAAGTCCCATAGTTAAGAGAGACAACATATCCATCAGAAAGCCAAGACCTTAAAACTGCAAAGACGAAAGTCAGTTACTAGGGTTATAAAGAATGCAAGCACGCAAAGAATGCACAGCAAGTAAAGGTTCCAGGGATTTGAGAGACTTCCTGATATTTTGGATGGGAGCTGTCTGCCTCATGTTGCCATGTCTGTCTGATCCAGGGGTTTTGGGTCAGCAGGTATCTTCAGAAGATTATGTTGAAAATAAAGTCGAGTGCCTTGATTTGGATCACTGTCCAGTGTCTAAGGACTTTTGATTTCATTTTTATTCAGAATCTCAAATCCAAGGATCAACATCTTAAAGGTAAAGCATGGTATTGTTGGTCAGCAGGCTGTAATGGAACCTTTTTCGCTGGACTTGAGAGCTTGTATCTCTCCCAGAAGACTAGCAAGTCTCTGGGTTTTAGTTTAATTCGTTGGTTAGAAAGATACTGAGGAATGATCAACAGCAAGATGATAATATCAGTCCCTTTAACTATTTAGCCATATATTTATTTTTTAAAAGAGATTTATTTGTTTATTTGAAAGGCAGAGTTACAGAGAGGCAAAGACACAGAGAGAGAGAGAGGTTTTCCATCCACTGGTTCACTCCCCAAATGGCTGCAACAGCCGGTGCTGTGGTGTAGTGGATAAAGCCACCGCCTGCAGTGCTGACATCCCATATGGGCTCCGGTTCAAGTCCCAGCTGCTCCACTTCTGGTCCTACTCTCTGCTGTGGCCTGGAAAAGTCAGTAAGGATGGCCCAAGTCCTTGGGCCTCTGTCCCCGCGTGAGAGACCTGGAAGAGGCTTCTGTCTCCTGGCTTCGGATTGACTCAGCTCCAGCTACACCATGGCGCCGGCCCCTCCATGTATGTTTTTAACAGAATATAAGGTCTAGGATCATATTATGAGATGTGTAGGGTGGCCAATCACTAACTCATGGAGGGAAAGTCAGTGAACTCCAGTAAGAATTCATCCATGGTCACTAAGGCCAACAACAACTTTGGTCACAGGACTTTGAGGGCTCCTGAGAGAGTTCTGCTAATTCTCCTTTTTTAAAATCAATTTTTTTTAAATTCAGGCTCCCCCCACGGGGGGTGGGGGGGAGTAGTCTTTTCAGTTCAGTTTCTGTAGTTTTTTTTATTTTTTCGGACAGGCAGAGTTAGACAGTGAGAGAGAAAGACAGAGAGAAAGGTCTTCCTTCTGTTGGTTCACCCCCCCCCCCCCCAAATGGCTGCTACGGCTGGCGCTGCGCCGATCTGAAGCCAGGAGCCAGGTGCTTCCTCCTGGTCTCCCATGTGGGTGCAGGGCCCAAGCACTTGGGCCATCCTCCATTGCATTGCCGGGCCACAGCAGAGAGCTGGACTGGAAGAGGAGCAACCGGGACAGAACTGGCGCCCCAACTGGGACTAGAACCTTTTAAAATAACATTTGTTCTGCAGAATCCTAAAGTTAACAGATCATATGATTGGTGGACTTTTTGAATGAATGGTAGGATTTTTCAAATCTTCACAATGAGTTTCAGTGAAGTATTTCTCTACTACTGGAGATATACATTGAAATTCTCTAGGTAAGATGATGGTAATTGCATGAAATCTATGTGGAAGTGTTCAAGGGGGTGTTAAGGACTAATCACTTAATTAACATTCTACCTTGATAGGCTTCAGAGGAAAATATTGGTCACAAATGACATATGTAACCAGTGTCTGCTTGGTAGTTTTAGTAATTTCCATATCAGAATTTAGTACACCTTATTCCTGTGGATAATTTTATGTGTAATGTTTGTAAGGCTCCACTTTTGAAATTTCATAGCAACACCAGAAGGCTAAGATAAAGAGCGGGAGAGAGGAGAGTATTCTCATGCAATATACAGCCAGGTCATTACCAATATTTTTTCTGTCTGATTCTGGAGTCAGTAATAGCTTCTTTCAACCTGTTCAGCAATTTGCACCTGTGTAGTGTGAGGAGGACTTGATTTTATTTTGTCTTGTGGCACAGTGGTCATCTAGAGCATTTCCCATAATATCTGAAGATGCTTTTTTGTACCTTCTCCTTCTTCTTTCTTCTTCTCCTTCTCCTTTTTTTTGACAGGCAGAGTGGACAGTGAGAGAGAGAGAGAGAGAGAGAGAGAAAGGTCTTCCTTTACCGTTGGTTCACCCTCCAGTGGCTGCTGCGGCCAGTGCACTGCGGCTGGCGCACCGTGCTGATCTGAAGCCAGGAGCCAGGTCTTCTCCTGGTCTCCCATGGGGTGCAGGGCCCAAGGACTTGGGCCATCCTCCACTGCACTCCCTGGCCACAGCAGAGAGCTGGCCTGGAAGAGGGGCAACCGGGAAAGAATCCGGTGCCCCGACCAGGACTAGAACCGAGTGTGCCGGCGATACAAAAATTCTCAACAAAATACTGGCAAATTGAATCCAAAGCACATGACGAGGATCATACACCATGATCAAGTGGAATTTATCCGAGGAATGTTGGGATGCACCAACATATGCAATTCAGTAAACATCATGCATCAACTGAATAAAGGTCAAAAATCATATATGATCATCTCTATAAATGCAGAAAAAGTGTTTGATAAAATTCAATACTCACTGGAAAATCCTGAACCGATTCAGTTTAGGCAGAGCATACCTCAACACATATGTGAAAAAACTCACGGTCAACATTATACTGAATGAGAGAGCTGAAATTGTTTCCTCTAACTATGGAGTAAGAGAAGAACTCTTGACTTTTAACACTCTTATTCAACATAGCACTTCATGAAAGTCTTAGTCAGAGTATTTAGTCGAAAGAAAAAAAAAAAATACAAATAAGAATGGAGAAAGTAAAAATATCCCCGTTTGAAGAAAACATGATTCTCTATATAGAAAAATCTAAAACTCCATCAAAAATACCATTAGAACTGATGCACAAATCTACTAAAGTTGCAACATACAAAATGAGTAGCATTTTATACAGCAATAATGAATTTTCTGAGAAAGAAATCAAGAAAGTAATCTAAAATATCTACCAAAAATACCTAGGAATTAAGTAGCCAGGTGCCCTAGCATTGGGTGCATATACAGTTACTATGTAACACTTCCTGTTGAATTGGTCCCCTAACCATTAAATAATGGTCTTCTTTGTCTCTTTTAACAATTTTTTAAAACTCCATTATGTCTGATATTAGAGTGGTCACTCTTGCTCATTTTTAAAAAAGATTTATTTATTTGTTTGAAAGGGAGAATTACAGAGAGGTAGGGAGAGAGAGAGAGAAAGAGAGAAAGAGAGAAAGAGAGAAAGAGAGAGAGAGAGAGAGAGATATTTTCCATCCGCTGGTTCACTCCTCAAATGGCCGCAATGGCTGGAGCTGCACTGATCCAAAGCCAGGAGCCAGGAGCTTCTTTCGGGTCTTTCATGCAGGTGTGGGGCCCAAGGACTTAGGTCATCTTCTACTGCTTTCCCAGGCAGAAGCAGAGAGCTGGATCTGAAGTGGAGCAGCCAGGACTTGAGTCAGTGCCCATAGGGGATGCTGGCACTGTAGGTGGCAGCTTTACTCCCTACCCCACAGTGCTGGCCCCCTGCTCATTTTTGATTCCCATTATCATGGAATATCTTAGCCAAACCCACAATCTAATATGGGATGCTGACTTCACATTAATGGCTTAACCCACTGTGCTACAAACATGGCCCTGATAAATTTATCTTGGTGCAAAAAGTTTTCAAAATCCGCTATTTTTTTTTTAATTTTTACAAAAGATTTGGTTGAAAGGCAGAGTTGAGAGAGAGAGAGAGAGAGAGAGAGAGCAAGAGAGAGAGTGCGAGAGTTTTCCATCCACTGGTTCACTTACCTAATGACTACAACCAAAGGAGCCAAGTCTCCCACTTGGGTGGCAGGGGCTTAAGTACTTGGGGCATTTTGCAGTGCTTTCCCAGGCATAGTAGCAGGGAGCTGTGTCAGAAGTGGAGCACCCAGGACTCAAACTGGCACTCATATGGAATGCCAGTGCCACAGGCAGTGGCTTAACTCATTACACCACAGCACCAGCTGCCATGAATGTTTTTTCATAAAACGCATTTTCATGAACTTTGAAGATGCTTGTAAATATATAATAATGTTGAGTTGCGTAATAGCTCCCCTCACTAACAATTTGCCCATGCCCTTAAAATGAAGAGGAAATTGAGGGAATCATTCCGTTAAATCTACTGCTACAATGGAAATTACTGCTTCTATGGAAAAATGAAGTGTATGATTGGATTTCCTGCAATTTCTTTTCATCTAAAATGAAGACATACACAAAAAAAGACTTTGCTTGAAATTTATATTTTTTAGCAAAATTTTTTTAAAGGTTAAAAGTATTCACACAAACAAGACTAGTGTCTGAGAATACTAACTGATAGAATAAAAAAGGGAGAGAACTATCCAACATGGGAAGTGGGATACACAGCAGACTCATAGAATGGCAGATGTCCTAAACAGCACTCTGGCCTCAGAATCAGCCCTTAAGGCATTCGGATCTGGCTGAAGATCCCATGAGAGTATTTTAGACATGGAAAGCCAAGACACTCTGGCAAAAACAAAACAACAACAACAACAACAAAACAAAAAAACAAAAAACAAAAAAAACAAACAGCAAGTGAGATCCCAGTAGAAAGAATGGGCCATCAAAGAAGGAGGTACCCTTCTCTGAAGGGAGGAGAGAACTTCCACTTTGACTATGACCTTATCCAAATAAGATCAAAGTCAGTGAACTCAAGAGGCTTCCATAGCCTTGGCAACTCATGATAAGAGCCTAGGGAGATTTCTGACGCCATAAACAAGAGTGTCAAATTGTTAAGTCAACAACAGGAGTCACTGTGTACTTACTCCTCATGTGGGATCTCTGTCCTTAATGTGTTGTCCAATGTGAATTAATGCTATAAGTAGTACTCAAACAGTATTTTACACTTTATGTTCTGTGTGGGTGCAAACTGATGAAATCTTTTCTTAATATCTACTAAATCAATCTTCTATATGTAAAGATAATTGAAAATGAATCTTGAATGAATGGAATGGGAGATGGAGCGGGAAATGGGAGGGGTGCGGGTGGGAGGGAAATTATGGGGGGGGGGAAGCCATTGTAATCCATAAACTGTACTTTGGAAAATTATATTTACTAAATAAAAGTTTAAAAAAAAGAAAAAAAGGTTAAAAGTGGAAAAAATACTATATGGGCTCTTCCCAGTTAAAATTGCTTTCATATGGGCACTGAATAGTTATTTAATGTGACAATTTTTGTTTGTACAGAATTACATTCAACAAAGGTTTTAAAATATTTTATTACATTTGCTTATTATTAATTTCTAAGAGCTAAAGGCTTGAAGGGTAATTTTACTGTCACTTTACTTTATGGATAACAGTTAAATATGCACTATATTTGCAGTGATGTTCTATAGTACTACTTTTAAAAATGAAGAGGAGAAAAAAATTCGTCCTGCTTGTCAAACTATCTTCAATTTTTTTCACCTCATCTTATGTGGTATATACATACAATAGAATAATACTCAGCCATAAAAAATAATAAAATGTTTTCTTGCAACAAAGTAGATGCAACTGTAGATCATTATGCTTCGTGAAATAAGCCAATCTCAAAAAGACACATATAATATTTTTATGATATTATCATATCAGTTTTCCTTCCACCTTTTTAGATAAATGTATGTTCGCGCTAGCTCAAGTTTCTGTCTGTAGCTTCAGAGTGTACCATTTTTTCCTTATGGCACTTCTTTTCCTACATACTCCAGAATCACTCTGATAGGCTTCCATCGCAAAGGATTAAGAGGAAGATCCTTACCCAAAAAGTGTCTTGGACTGACTGAAAATAACCTCCCCCATCAGGTCAGTTCATTCTTTTGAGGTTTGGGAAACTGAGGTCAGAATCGTTTTTAGCCCGCAGGTCTTCCAATTCAGCAACATAGTGTCCGAATGAGGTGTCAGCAGGCTGAGGGCCGGGTTTTCCCTGCACGGAGCAGCCAAGCTTTCTAGCCGGAAACCCCTGCACCTGCAACCAATGGGGGCGGGGGGGCACCCACGCGACCCCCTGCCAGCTAGGGAGGCACTCGCGGCGGCCTCCCCCGCACACCGCCCGCGCGCGTCCAGGAGACAACCGCGTCCACGAGCAGCTCCTGCATTCGGAGGCGCGGTCCCGGGATGCGGCCCGCGGCCCTCGGCGGTCGCGGTCCCCGAGCGCTCGGGAGGGGCGGCCGGCCGGGTGGGGGTGTCGCCGGCCCGCGAGGGCCGCGGAGGACGCGGGCTCGGACGCGGGCGGGAGCCCCGCGCCCCGGGGTCTTCGCAGAGGGGTGGGCGGGGCGGCGGCGAGGGGGCGGTTCCGCGCCGCCGGCTTCCCCTGCCTGGCGCCGCGACTCGGGGCTGAGAACTTCTCCCCGCAGCCGCAGCGCCCCGCGGCTTCCGCACCTCGTCCGGGCCCGCCGCCTCAGCCTCCGACTGCGGCCGCGCTTCGCCAGCTTTACGAAGGAGGGAAAAGTGAGCCGGGTGGCGGCGGCGAGCGCGGAGCCTCCACAGCGGCGGCGAGCGCGGCCGCCCCCGCACCACGTCAAACACCCCCGCCGGTCAGCCCAGCCGCGGCCCAGGCCCGAACGGAGCCCGCCCGGGCCGCTCGCCCCCCGAGCCCTGCGCGTCGCCGCCGGCCGGCGAGGAGGTGGTGAGGAGGACGAGCCGGAGGCGCCGCCGTCCCGCGCCGCGCGCCCTCGCCGCTGTCTGCGCTCCGCTCTGGACCAGTTTGGGGAAGTGGCCTGGGCCCGCGTCGTCCAGCTGTGTGACCGGATTGAGCCGCAGCCGGCCGAAAAGATCGGCACGTGAAGAAGTTGCGGAGAACCTTGTCGGAGAGTTTCAGCCGCATCGGTGAGTGGCCAGCGTCCCCCGCCCCGCTCCCGCGCCCTTCGGCCTCGCACCCCGACGCACCAGCCGGGCCGCTGCCGCCCGGGCAGGGCTGGAGGGAGGCGGCGACCCGGGCGACGGCGAAGGCGGAAGGGGAGACCCTTGCGCCCCCTGACCTGGCTCCTGCGTGGATGGCTTCAAGCCTGGGGTTGGGGGCGTCCTCCCCATCCCGTGTGCTCGCTCCTAGCGCGCGCGGGCGAGGGGACTCCGTCGCCCCGCAGCGCACCGGGCGGCGCGGCCGTCAGGGTCTTGGGCTAACTGTCCGCTGTTTAGGTTTTTTGCACATTCTAGAAATGCTCTTAATTTCCACCCCTCTCTGTCATTTTAATTCCATTCCTGTATTTACTGTATTTTTTAGTACAGTAAGTTCACATTTACATTTTCTGTAATTATTGTTACATCAAAATTTATTTCTGAATTTCATATACCCATTTAAGGTATTATTTATTCTTCCATTTTTTCTTGTCTTCTTCCCGCTATGTAAAAATTTCTAATGCTGGTTTGAGAGTTATGCGTTAATTGTGTCCTTCTAGTGAGTTATTCTTAATATTAAGAATAAGTATTAAGACCTATCTTGCTGGTTTCTATTTTTCAGTCTCACAAGTGAATCAATAACTATGTCTTCCCTCAAACACTACAAATAATTTAGTATTCTCTCAACTTTATTTAGTTCTTCTCTGAAATGTGTTGGTTCCTATCACCCAGAGTTCTAGTTTGAGACCATTATGTATATATTTTTCTCACTGTCTCTGTCATTCTTTTTATTCTTTTTCTTTTCATTCCCTACTTTTTGTCTTTATTTTTTTAAACAATGATAAATTTAAAAGTTATATACTTACGTTTTCTTCTCATATATCTATAACATCATTCTGAATTTATTTCCCTTCTAATTGGAGTTCTTCCAAACACTTGTGTCTTTCTGTATTTTAATGGTGATAAAATACATGCCAACTTTACTGTTAGTCATTTTTAAGTGACAGTTCAGTGCATTCACAAGGTTATAAAATCATCACCACCCCATATTTCAGAAGTCTTTTTTCCTCCAAATTGAAACTCTGTCCCTGTCAAACAGTAATTCTCCATTCCCTCCTCACCCTAACCTAACCCCTGGCAACCCTCATTCTACCTTCTGTTTCTATGCATTTGACTCTATGAACTGCATGTAAGTGGAAGCATACAATGCATCCTTTAGCGATTGACTTATTTCCCTTTGCACAGTGTCTTCAAGGTTCTGTCAAGTACTAGCATGTGTCCAAATCCCCTTCCTTTTAGAGGCTTAACAATCCACTGAATGTGTGTCCCACGTTTTGTTTATCTATTCATCCATCAGTGGGCACTTGGGCTATTTCTACCTTTTGGCTTCTGTAAGCGATGTTGCTCTGAACATGGAGGAACAAAGAAATACAGGTTTGAGTATTTGCTTTCAATTCTTTTGAGTCTATATAAAAAAGTAGAATTGCTAGATTATATGATAACCCCATATTTAATTTTCTGAGGATTTGATTTACTTTTTTCCATGGAAGTTGTACCAGTTTTACATTTCTATCACTAATGCAGAATAGTTCCAATTTCCCTACATCCTCAGTAACATTTGGTGCTTTTTGTTATCTTTAATGTTAGCCATCCTAATGGGTGTGAAGTAGGCTACCTGTGATTTTGAATTACATTTTTTTGTGATAATTGATGTCAAGCAGTTTTCCATATGCTTATTGGCTATTTGCATATTGTCTGGAGAAATGGCTATTCAAGTTCTTGGTTCATTTTTGAATCAGGTTTTTTATTGTTGTTGAATTATAGGAGTTGTTTCCATATCCATGAGAGTAATTGCTCATCTTATACAGGATTTGCAAATGTTTTCTCCTATTTGCTTGACTACTTTTTCATTCTGTTGATAATGTCTTTTGGTACACTAATGGTTTTCCATTTTAATGAAATTCAATTTGTCTATTTTCTTTTGTTACTTATGCCTTTAGTGTCATAAGTAAAAATCATTGCCAAGTCTAATGTCATTAAATTCTTCCCCTGTGTTTACTTCTAAAATTTTAGAGTTTAAACTCTTCTTACTTTTTATTTTCTATTTTTTTAAATTTATTATTTATTTACTTGACAGGTAGAGTTATAGACAGCGAGAGAGAGAGAGACAGAGGTCTTCCTTCCGTTGGTTCACTCCCCTAATGGCTGCCACGGCCAGTGCTGTGCCAGTCCGAAGCCAGGAGCCAGGTGCTTCCTCCTGGTCTCCCATGTGGGCGCAGGGCCCAAGGACTTGGGCCATCCTCCACTGCACTCCCGGGCCACTGCAGAGAGCTGGACTGGAAGAGGAGCAACCGGGACTAGAACCTGGTACCCATATGGGATGCCGGCACCACAGACGGAGGATTAACCAAGTGAGCCACAGCGCCGGCCCCTAGAGTTTAAAACTCTTACAGCGGCCTGGCACTGTGGCATAGCGGGTAAAGCTGCCTCCTGTAGTGCTGGCATCCCAAATGGCTACCAGTTCGAGTATCAGCTTCTCCACTTCTGATCCAGCTCTCTGCTATGGCCTGGAAAAGCAGTAGAAGATGGCCTAGGTCCTTGGGCCCCTGCACCCACGTGAGAGACCTGGAAGAAGCTCTTGGCTACAGGCTTCTGATCTGCACAGTTTCAGCCATTGAGGCCATCTTGGGAGTCAACCAGTGGATGGAAAACTGCTCTCTCTCTCTCTGCCCCTGCTTCTCTGTAACTCTGCCCTTCAAATAACATGAACCTTACAAAAAAAAAAAAAAAAAAAGAAAAGAAAAGCTTTCGCTATAACATATGGGTTGATCCACCTTGAGTTTTTTGAATATAACAGTCCAATTCCTTCCTTCCTTCCCCCCCTTTTTTTCTTTTTGCATGTGGATATCCAGTCTTCCAAATATAACTTAGTGAAATGACTGTCATTTCCCACTGGATGACCTTGGTGTCTGTGTCAAAAATCATTTTACTATATACATAAGAGCTTTATTTCTAGGCCCTTTATTCTGTTGCTCTATATCTGTTTTTTTTTTTTTTGTGTTTGCTAGTATAATGTTGTTTTGATTAGTGTAACTCTACTAAGTTTTGAAATAAGATGATGAGAGGTCTATATTTTTGTTCTTTAAAAAACCGATTTAGCTCCTTGGAGCCCTTGATATTCTGTATGAATTTTAGAGTGAGTTTTACTATTGTTTTAAAACTGTTTTTGGAGAATTCATACATACTGCATTGACTATGTAGATTGCTTTGGGTAGTATTAAAATCTGAACAATATTAAGTCTTCTGACTCATGACATCAGAATTTTTTTTTTTTTTTTCAGATCTAGATGTTTTATCTGCTAGTTCATTCTCCAAATGCCTGCAATAGCTGGGACTGGGGCTGGGCCTGACCAAAACCAGGGATCTGTAATTCAATCCAGGTTTCTCATATGGGTAACAGACACCTAAGTATTTGAGTCATCACCTGCTGCTTCTTAAAGTATATATTAACTAGCAAGAAGCTGGAACAAAAGCAGAGACAGGACTGAAACCAGGTACTACACTATGAGATACAGGTTTCCCCAGCAGAGTTCTGTCTGTTGTGCCAAATGCCTGTCTCCTTTCTTCTTTCTTAGAGTAAGCATTTACAGCTATAAATTTACATCTTAGCACTGTTTATGATGCATTCCATTCATTTTGGTATGTTGCTTTTTATTTGCCTCAAGTATTTTTGAACATCCCTTGTCTTTTTTTTTTTTTTAAATTTTGACCTACTGGTTCTTTAAGAATTTGTTTAATTTCCACATATTTGTGAATTTTTCTGTTTTTTCTTGCTGTTCATTTCTGGTTTCTGCACTCCCTCTGGCCATAGCCCCTCCTGGAAATGGGGTCAAGGCAGCAGGACTGACGTTGGCCAGGGGAGCTCAGCTGAAACCCTGCATATCCTCAGATCTGAGAAAGGAGTTCTCTGGGAACCTGGCAATGAGTTCCTGTTCTCCTGAATGATGGTCTGGGTGCCACCGTTTTTTAACTCTTAACCCGGAACTCCTTAAACCCAGTAGGTTGGCAAGAATACCAAAGCTGAAGCCGACTTTGCGGAAAAGCTCCCTGCCTCCCTGGCCCTCTGTTTCCTCCTGGAATGAACTAAAGCAGACATCCTGCAGGGGCTGGGCGGGTGACCGCCATATAATCCACTCACCCAGTGTAACTAGAAATGATATTATAGGATTGCAGTTTTTTTTAAGTATTTATTAAGAATTTCTTTGCTGTTGTTAGATGGAGTATTTTGTATATGTCTGGGATATCTGCCAAGTGTTGTTCAATTCTCCACTTATGGTCTTCTGAGAGAGAAGGAGAGAGAGAGAGAGAGAGAAGGAGAGAGAGAGAGAGAGAGAGGACTGGGGAGTGGGGAGAGACAGAGAGATATCCTCCTTCCACTGGTTTACTCCCCAAATAGCTACAACAGCCAGATCTAGGCCAGGCTGAAACCAGTGGCTTGGAAACACATACACGTATCCCAGGTGGGTGCAGAGGGTCTAGACACTTGAGCTATCTTCCACTGATTTCCCAGGTGCATTAGCAGATAGAGCTGGAACAGAAATGGAGCAGTCAAGACCAAACTTGTACCCACATAAGATGTCAATGTCAAAAGCAGCGGTTTACCCGTTGCGTCATAATGCCAGCCCTCTACATTTATATTTTCTAATCTGTGTTGCTGTTGTATAGGAATGCAGTTGATTTATATAAACTGCACTTGAATCCACACACCTTGTTGAATTCTCATTCTAAAAACTTACATGGGAGGGGTGGCACTGTGAGGTAGTAGATTAAGCCTCCACCTGCAGCACTGGCCTCCCATATGGGCACTGGTTCCCATCCTGGCTGCTGTATTTCTGATCCAGCTCCCTGCTGATGACCTGGGTACTTGGGCCCTTGCACTCACCCTGAGATGGCTCAGGTGATTGGGTTCTGGCCCCTGAAGTGTTAAGACC